CAGCTTCAGATGGGGCGATTTCGCCCAGAAACTTTACGTCGCAACACCAGCAACACGGGCCGCCCGCGATCACACGCAGCAAACAATTGCTGCAACTTGCCATCTTCATCATAAAATTTTATTTTTCTTGCACTATTTAGACACAATTACGCTTTAAAGGTGTTTTTATGCATTTAAACCTCGTTAAGAATACTAATGAACCTCTCTGAAACAGTTTATTTCCCAAAAACGATCGATTTCAAACCAGAACCAAGTCTTTCGGTGTCATCATCACCGGCACGAGGTATCACGTGAAAATTTTGCATCCCTGATTGGATGCAGCCGCTTCAAACGTATTCGAATTGCTCCGAGTTGCTTGCTTATTTCGAGCCGGACGCGATCTCAGTAATTCGTGTCGATCTAAGGAAAGCTAGAGAACAACTCGCCATTAACATCAAAATTGCTGAGAAAGATGCTCGATCTGAAGGGGGCCTCACGCACTCACAGCCCTCATGGCCCTCACCGCCCTCACGGCCCTCAACGCCCTCACCGCCCTCACGGCCCTCACGTACTCGTAGCCCTCACCGCCCTCACGGCCCTCACGCCACTCACCGCCCTCACGCCACTCACCGCCCTCACGCCCCTCACCGCCCTTGCGGCCCTCACGTCCCTCACGCACTCATGGCCCTCACCGCCCTCACGGCCCTCACGGCCCTCATAGCCCTCACCGCCCTCACGGCCCTCACCGCCCTCACGGCCCTCACAGCCCTCACGGCCCTCACCGCCCTCACAGCCCTCACGGCCCTCACTCACCCTCACACTCATGAATTTTCCTGGTTCAGAAACTCACTCACCCTCACCTCACCTGTGAAGATGAGGGTGAGTGAGGGTGAGTGAGGGCCCTCATGAGTGAGGTTTGCCGAGGTATGCCGAGGGCCGGGGATCTGCCGTCCGAGGGGTAAGACTCTGTTTAAGCAAACCAGGGTTAGGGTGGCAGATTGGTTTCGTACGTCTGTTTGCGTGATCAAGATTGAAAGATCACTTGCACCATTTTTTTCAACGAAGTGTTACTAAATTTAACTCATACGCGCTTATTAAATCCATTTCTCGTTACTCCCGGTAGGGTATCATTTAAGGCTTCTGGTTGACCAAGATGCCTGTCAAGCAATGAATCTCCGTCGGTGCGCACCCTGGTCCTTGCCGCTTCTCCCATTAGCCATATCGCCACGCGCGTCGCTGAGCAAGTGCGGAAGTGGCGGAATGGTTACCCATGCTTGGCTGTCGCGCGGAGGATTTGGGTTCGATTTCAGAGAGCGGAGTGTTCTTGTGTTTGTTCTTTCTACTTGGCCTTCTCGCAAGTTTCAGAACTTTCTCGTCTGATCGGGTTACGAATGTTCTACGCGCCAAACGTTCTAGGTCAAATGTTCCAGAGACCCACGCGGCTACAAAAGGTGCTCCGCGTGGCAAGCCGGAGTGAGTCTCGCCCCAGCGTTCAGTCCTCCTGTTACGCCGCCATCGACGCCCGCGATGCTCCAGCTGTTGCTATCTTCTGTTTCCTTTTCGTTTTGGGCACAAGTTCGCCCCATTAAACGTTCAGTTTGTTTCAGTTTTCGTCACATCATCATTTGTCTTTCGTGACGATATTCTTTCAACATACGGTTCTTGTGCGGAACATCTACTGAAATCTAATCCTGTCAATGGCTATATTGATATAACAAACTGGCACGTGACTTTGTCCGACGTGTTGATTGGATCACTGGTACCAAGCCTTCGTCCAGTGTGAAGTTAAGGTAAAACAGAGCATATTGAAATATTTGGTCCGTCTGCTAAAGTGAAGAGATCGGGGCTTTGTGCGAGGAGCTTTCCCTGCAATTCTTGCCGGTCGACAGATTGCAGGTCCCCCCCACCTTGTTTTAGAGCGCAGCTCTCAGGCGCCCGTTTCCGGCATGAGCGGCGTTGGCGTCGGCGTCGTCGTCGGCGTAACCAAGGTCACCCCAAGGTCACGTGACCCCCAGGTCATGTGACCCCCCAAAGTCACGTGACCCCCCGAGGTCACGTGACCCTCCGAAGGTGACGTGACCCCCCTCCCCCCCCCCCGAAGTCACGTGACCCCCCCCCCCCGAGGTCACGTCACCCCCCTCCCTCCGAGGTCAGGTGACCCCCGGAGCATATTACAGAATGAAGGGAGGAGGAGGAGGAGGAGGAGGAGAAGGAGAAGGAGGAGGGGTCTACCCTCCCCTCAGTACCCTTCCCTCCTCCTCCTCAAGAGCTGCGCTCCAATTCACCATTACAGGGAGTTGTAAACGGCTTTCACTTTTTTTAGAGCGCAGCTCTTAGGCGCCCGTTTCTGGCTTGAGCGGCGTCGCCGTCGCCGTCGGCGTCGGCGTAACCAAGGTCACGCTAAGGTCACGTGACCGCTCCCAAGGTAACCCCAAGGTCACGTGAACCCCAGGTCATGTGACCCCTCCCAAGGTCACCTCGAGGTCACGTGACCCCCCAAAGTCACCCTAAGGTCACGTGACCCCCAGCTCGTGATCCCCCAAGGTCACGAGCTGGGGAAATCTCCAACTAGCTGATTCTTGGCTACACGAAGTTCCTGTAATGTCAGGTTGGCCATTCTCACCGGTACCTCGCCATCGCTGTTGATTCGAACGGCCACATCTGCTCCTAATAGTCCGTGTGTACCTATTTCGCGCATCTCTACAACACCATCTCCTGAAATCGGCATCAAATGCTTCACTCTGGCAAGCGCCATCGTCTCCGACATTGGTGGTATTACACATTCCCTCGTAAGAAATACAGGAGAACGTACACTTTCGGTTGATGGTACATCAGATAGTGCGGGGTGATCGTCGTCTTTTCTCCAGTTAAGAATAGGGACGCTTTGCCCTCCTATCCTAAGAATGCCCTCCGATGCCAGAATATCTATGCCATACTTTCGCACAACATCTTGGCCGAATATTCCAGCAACTGGAAGCATAACATCGTCCGCGCATGCAAAACAGGGATGTTGAAACGTAGTGGTTCCTATCTTGAAAGGAACGTCAAAACAACCGCTCGTTTTCAATGGCTTCCCCGTAATTCCAATCAGTTCGGTGTGGGCATGCGCTTCTGAAAGGCTGAAAGGAGCACCTCCCTTAAGATTTCGTAACACAGACTCTTTCATGAGCGTTACCTTAGATCCAGTATCGATAATAAATTCGGCCACTGTTGTTCCTACTTGGCACTGAACCATTGGACTGCTCTCACCACATAATCTAACTGACCCCGCTTTCGTATCGGCTTCCTTCTCGATGGGGTCATTTGAGAGGAGCCGTTCTAGTTTTCCTGGCGTCTCCCCGTGACTTGCCCATCTTTTCTTTGACCCCGTCCTTTTCCCGTGTTTCCATCACTTCGAAACATCAAGGCCTGACAATTTCGTGCAATGTGGCCTAGTTGTCCACAGTTGAAACACCTGGGAGAGTAACATCTCTGTGCATAGTTCGAACTACTCTGGTCCCTAGTCTCCCGAGCTGCCGTTCCTTCCTGCAGCATTGCTTCGATTCGTTCAAGACGGCTTCGCACTTCTTTAAGTTCAGAGTCATTTGCAGCTACTGTCCGTACCGCTTGGTTTGATGTAACCTGTTGGTCATTCCTCTCCTCCTTATGTGCTACGCTGACAGCCTCCTCAAAGGACTTAGGATCTCTAGAGAGAACAAACCGCCTCACTGGATCTCTTAGGCCATGCACATATTGCGTGAGCATTTGATCTTCCAACAATTCTCTAGCAGCGTCCTCCTTCTGTTTGGCCCGTTCACCTTCGTAAAGGACCAAAGTTCGCTGCCCCAGTCTTTGCACACGGGTCGCGAAGGCTCTGACATCCTCAACTGCTTGTTGACGAGCCCCCATAAACTTCTCAAGTCGAGCGCTTCGTGATTCGCTATCGAATCGTCCAAGGAGCAACTGTTTGAAGTCTGTAAATGATGCGACGGATTTCATCCTCTCTTCATGCCACGCGAACTCGTATGCCCTCCCTGACATTTTGCACTTGGCAATTCCTATTTTCTGCGTGTCGTTCCAGCCACCCATCTGTGCGACCTGTTCGAGCACTAAAATAAAATCGTTTACGGAGGTTCCGTTACCATCCCCGGAAAATATGGGCACCATTCCTCCCAATGCCAGTACAGTTGCCCCCAGAGATCCTGTCATTGCTTGTCCATTCCCTTCTCCAGGGCCTGAGGTTGCTTGATTCATTTTCACAAGGCTCGCAAGTAGGAGGGTTGCTCTCACCACTTTAGGATGTCGAAATTATTTGAAGCATCCCACCGCTGCCACCATTTGTGACGTTGCTATCCGTCACAACACCTGAGTGTGTGTATGTTATAGAGGGTCGTTTCAAATTAGGAGACCTTGTGAATATGAACAAGTTTTACTTTGAGAATTAGAATAAAATTAAGAAATCGGGAAGAAAACGTAGGAAAAATAAGAAAGTAAACTGGAATAAATGAAGAAGAAATACTATCTACACGAAGCAAGAGTAAATGTCATAGTCCGTAGATATCCACAGATCAACGTAGGTGACTCAGTCAGTGTTCGTCAGCATCACTCACAGTCAGCCGTCTTCCTTCTGTGTCTGCTCGTCGCGGGAGAAGAATGGAGGTCGACGTCGATCGGGACCCCTTCGCAAAGTCCCAGGGTCGATGACGGCGTCTGTTCAGGCTTCCGAAGGTCGGCTTCCACCGCCTGCCCAACCGGCCCTTTTTGTTCCGTCTTCTTCTTCCTTTTTTCTTCCTCTTCTTCTTTCTTCTCTACCCCCACCGTCGCACCATTCTCGCACACCACACACGCTCAACCCAAAAAAAAAATTTTCCTTCTAGAAAATTTAGACATCTAGAAACAAGAATCCCCTTTGTACCTTCAACTAACCGCCTAAACATTCAATTAAGTTCTGCGGGAAACTAACTTTCACACTAAGAATTCAACACTATGTCGCGCCCTAAAACAACCACGGGTAACTATCTGTCAGTATAAGAGAACTCTGTTCACACTGGTGCCCGACTGCGGAGGGCGTAAGAATGGGACATTCCAGAAGGTTCTGGGGGTGCCATTGGCAACTCTTCTATACGTTCAACCGAAGACATTGGGGGCATTGTCTGCTGCCCATTGGTGGTCATTCTCCCGGTCACGTCGAGCTCTTCGAAAATCCCCGGTGCGATCTGCTCTCTATCTGGGTACCCGACCGTTGTTCCTTCGTTTCCGGCAGGTCCCCGTGGCGCCAAATTGTGAGGTAAGGATGAGAAAGAGCATCCCTCGTCTTGAGAGCGTTTGTGGTGGTTGTCTGCTAACTCCGGGATTCGCGTTTCGCCTGCCGTCGTTTTCCTCATCCTGTTCACGTGGAGCACTTTCCGCTCCCCAGTGCGGGCATTCTTGACACAATACGTAACCTCAGATAGTTTTTTAATCACGTGGTACGGGCCTTCCCACTTAGGAAACAGCTTCTTTGATATTCCTCGTTTAACGGCCTTTACTTCAATGTACACGAGATCGCCTATGTTGTAAGTTGCTCTTTGCGAATTTCGATCGTACAGTTCTTTTCTGTGTTCAGCTGATTTGGCTAGTTTCTCTCGTGCTGTTTCATGAGCCATTGTAAGTCTGTGACGTAGTTCATGGCAGTAATTCTGAGGTGTATCGTAATTGACAGGTGGTGGCTCATATAAGAGATCCGGCAAATCAGCGTTACGTCCGAATAGTAAGTAGAAAGGCGTCTCATCTGTACTTTCATGTTTGGCTGTGTTGTATGCGAACATACAATATGGAATCCATTGGTCCCAGTCTTTCTGGTCAGCACGCACATAGTGGGATAGCATTGAGACCGAGGTTTGGTTAAGTCGCTCTACGGCTCCGTTGCACTGGGGATGATATGCTGTTGTTTGTAGCTTCCGTATCCTTAGCAATGTGCATACATCCTGGAACAGTCTTGATGTAAAATTAGGGCCTTGATCTGTCAAGATTTGCTGAGGCACCCCATGGCGAAGGATTACGAGTTCCACAAACTTTTTAGCAACAGTTTCGGCTTTCTGGTCTGGCATCGCGACGACTTCTGAATATTTGGTAAGATGGTCTACAAACACCAGAAGATAACGATTTCCTTCCGTCGTAGTCGGAAATGGCCCCACAATATCCATTCCTGCCCTTTGAAATGGGTGTGCAACCTCTTCGAATACTTGTAGAGGGGCTCGCCTTCTGTTGTGGGACGCTTTGTGACGTATGCACGACACACACTGGGCACAGTAGTTCTGTACTTTCTTTTGCATTCCGTGCCAGAAGTACTTTTCTCGGACCCTTTCACTCGTCTTGCCCGTCCCTCGGTGTCCAGAGTAAGGTGTGTCATGATATAGTTGGATCACGTAATTTTTAAGCGATTCGGGGACAACAATTCGGTTCTTCACAAGGCGGTCTTGCTTCAACGTAGTCAGCTCTCTCCGACAAAGAAGGCCTCGAGAGTCGATAACATTGCATCCGAACGTCTTATCCGGTTGCTCTTCGCACTTGGAGATGAGCGTGATTAACTTTCGATCCTCTCGCTGTGCACCAATAAAACGATCGACATCACAATGTGGTTCATATTGAATAACTTCTCTGACCACAGCTCTGCTTAATGCGTCCACGTTCTGATTCATTTTTCCAGCCCGATGCTCCACTTCAAAGTTATATTCTTGCAGCAGTAAATTCCAGCGTGATAAACGAGAACTGGGGTCACGGGCGTTCATCAGCCATTTGAGTGCACGACAGTCGGTTAACACCTTGAACTTTCTTCCATACAGGTAACACCGGAACTGCTTGACTGCCCAGACTACCGCCAAACATTCTTGTTCCGTTGCTGCATATTTTTGTTCGGCCGGATTCAATTTCCTGCTTGCATATGCAATGGGGTGCTCGTTTCCTTCGAACTCTTGCGTCAACATGGCTCCCAGTGCACTTTGAGAAGCGTCCGTTATCAGAATAAATGGTTTCGAAAAGTCTGGGAACCTCAACAGAGGAGCTTGCGTCAGTTCATGTTTCAGAACCTCAAAAGCCGCTTCAGCTTCAGTGCTCCAGCTGAAAGTGACCTTCTTTGACGTGAGCGCAGTCAAAGGTTTGGCTTTTTCGGCAAACTCTGGTATGTGACGCCTGTAATATCCAATGAGACCAAGAAATTGGCGAACTTCTTTGACTGTTGTTGGTCTTGGAAATTCATTAACACAGCGCGTCTTTTCTGGATCTGGTCGAACCCCGTTTTTCGACAAAATGTGTCCGAGGTACTTCACTTCTTGTTTTAGAAATTGACATTTTGAGGGTTTTAATTTCAGTCCTGCCGCTTGTAGTCTCCTCAGGACAGTCTCGATATCTTTAAGATGTTGGTCGAAGCTCTGGCTGAAAATGATGATGTCATCTAGATAGACGTAGCATGTCTTCCCAAGAATGCCAGCCAAAATTGCATCCGCCGTACGCTGAAAAATGGCGGAGCTATTAACCAATCCCATTGGCATCCTTTTCCACTGATAGTGCCCACTTGGTGTATTGAAAGCGGTCTTCTCTTTATCGCTCGGTTCCATCTCTATTTGCCAGTAACCGGCGGCCATATCTACGACAGAGAAGTAGTGAGCAGACCCCAAGAGAGCAAGCGTTTCCTCAATATTGGGCAGTGGGTAAGGATCAACTCGAGTCACTTTGTTCAAATCTCTGTAGTCGATCACAAACCTGAATGACCCATCTGCCTTCTGTACCAACAAAGCAGGAGCGCCCCACGGGGATGTCGAGTGTTCAATTATGTCCTTCTCCAGCATTTCCTTGACCTGCTGTTTCATATCTTCTCTTTGCATAAGGGATTCTATAGGCTCTTCTGTATACAGGTGCGTCTGCTAAGGTTGGCACGCGGTGCTTTATCACGTCGCAACGTCCAAGGTCTAGTTTATGAAGAGAGAATGCGCTCTTATACTTTGTAAGAAGATCTAGGACTGACGTTTTTTCTTCCTCTTGCAGATGGTCAAGATCGAATTGCTCAGTAGGACGCCACCCTTCTCTTGCCTGTGCGCTGCAACGCAAAACGGGCTCTCCAGTCGACCCCTCGTTCACAATACTTATGAAATCTCCAACTAGCTGATTCTTGGCTACACGAAGTTCCTGTAATGTCAGGTTGGCCATTCTCACCGGTACCTCGCCATCGCTGTTGATTCGAACGGCCACATCTGCTCCTAATAGTCCGTGTGTACCTATTTCGCGCATCTCTACAACACCATCTCCTGAAATCGGCATCAAATGCTTCACTCTGGCAAGCGCCATCGTCTCCGACATTGGTGGTATTACACATTCCCTCGTAAGAAATACAGGAGAACGTACACTTTCGGTTGATGGTACATCAGATAGTGCGGGGTGATCGTCGTCTTTTCTCCAGTTAAGAATAGGGACGCTTTGCCCTCCTATCCTAAGAATGCCCTCCGATGCCAGAATATCTATGCCATACTTTCGCACAACATCTTGGCCGAATATTCCAGCAACTGGAAGCATAACATCGTCCGCGCATGCAAAACAGGGATGTTGAAACGTAGTGGTTCCTATCTTGAAAGGAACGTCAAAACAACCGCTCGTTTTCAATGGCTTCCCCGTAATTCCAATCAGTTCGGTGTGGGCATGCGCTTCTGAAAGGCTGAAAGGAGCACTTCCCTTAAGATTTCGTAACACAGACTCTTTCATGAGCGTTACCTTAGATCCAGTATCGATAATAAATTCGGCCACTGTTGTTCCTACTTGGCACTGAACCATTGGACTGCTCTCACCACATAATCTAACTGACCCCGCTTTCGTATCGGCTTCCTTCTCGATGGGGTCATTTGAGAGGAGCCGTTCTAGTTTTCCTGGCGTCTCCCCGTGACTTGCCCATCTTTTCTTTGACCCCGTCCTTTTCCCGTGTTTCCATCACTTCGAAACATCAAGGCCTGACAATTTCGTGCAATGTGGCCTAGTTGTCCACAGTTGAAACACCTGGGAGAGTAACATCTCTGTGCATAGTTCGAACTACTCTGGTCCCTAGTCTCCCGAGCTGCCGTTCCTTCCTGCAGCATTGCTTCGATTCGTTCAAGACGGCTTCGCACTTCTTTAAGTTCAGAGTCATTTGCAGCTACTGTCCGTACCGCTTGGTTTGATGTAACCTGTTGGTCATTCCTCTCCTCCTTATGTGCTACGCTGACAGCCTCCTCAAAGGACTTAGGATCTCTAGAGAGAACAAACCGCCTCACTGGATCTCTTAGGCCATGCACATATTGCGTGAGCATTTGATCTTCCAACAATTCTCTAGCAGCGTCCTCCTTCTGTTTGGCCCGTTCACCTTCGTAAAGGACCAAAGTTCGCTGCCCCAGTCTTTGCACACGGGTCGCGAAGGCTCTGACATCCTCATCTGCTTGTTGACGAGCCCCCATAAACTTCTCAAGTCGAGCGCTTCGTGATTCGCTATCGAATCGTCCAAGGAGCAACTGTTTGAAGTCTGTAAATGATGCGACGGATTTCATCCTCTCTTCATGCCACGCGAACTCGTATGCCCTCCCTGACATTTTGCACTTGGCAATTCCTATTTTCTGCGTGTCGTTCCAGCCACCCATCTGTGCGACCTGTTCGAGCACTAAAATAAAATCGTTTACGGAGGTTCCGTTACCATCCCCGGAAAATATGGGCACCATTCCTCCCAATGCCAGTACAGTTGCCCCCAGAGAGCCTGTCATTGCTTGTCCATTCCCTTCTCCAGGGCCTGAGGTTGCTTGATTCATTTTCACAAGGCTCGCAAGTAGGAGGGTTGCTCTCACCACTTTAGGATGTCGAAATTATTTGAAGCATCCCACCGCTGCCACCATTTGTGACGTTGCTATCCGTCACAACACCTGAGTGTGTGTATGTTATAGAGGGTCGTTTCAAATTAGGAGACCTTGTGAATATGAACAAGTTTTACTTTGAGAATTAGAATAAAATTAAGAAATCGGGAAGAAAACGTAGGAAAAATAAGAAAGTAAACTGGAATAAATGAAGAAGAAATACTATCTACACGAAGCAAGAGTAAATGTCATAGTCCGTAGATATCCACAGATCAACGTAGGTGACTCAGTCAGTGTTCGTCAGCATCACTCACAGTCAGCCGTCTTCCTTCTGTGTCTGCTCGTCGCGGGAGAAGAATGGAGGTCGACGTCGATCGGGACCCCTTCGCAAAGTCCCAGGGTCGATGACGGCGTCTGTTCAGGCTTCCGAAGGTCGGCTTCCACCGCCTGCCCAACCGGCCCTTTTTGTTCCGTCTTCTTCTTCCTTTTTTCTTCCTCTTCTTCTTTCTTCTCTACCCCCACCGTCGCACCATTCTCGCACACCACAACGTGACCACCTCCCCCCGAGGTCAGGTGACCCCACCGGAGCATATTAAAGAATGGGGAGGAGAAGGAGGAGGAGGAGGGGTCTACCCTCCCCTCAGTACCCTTTTCTCCTTCTCCTCAAGAGCTGTGCTCCAATTCGGCGTTACAGGGAGTTGTAAACGGCTTTCACTTTTTAGAGCACAGCTCTTACGGGCCCATTCCCGGCTTGAGCGGCGTCGGCGTCGACGTAACGAAGGTCACCCAAAGGTCACGTGACCCCCAAGGTCATCCCAAGGTTACCCCAAGGTCACGTGACCCCCTTCCGAGGTCACGTGACCCCTCCCCCCGAGGTCACGTGACCCCCTCC